TCACACTCTCTCTCCTAGAAATAAATTTAAAAAAAAAAAAAAAGAAGTATAAGGTCATCTGCCTTTTAGGTATAATAAATCAGGAATTCTCGATGAGTACTTGTATTACAGGCTTTGGGAAGTCTGGCAATTCTCCTTCTAAGACCTCGCTATATTTATGTCTTAGAGGCAAAAATTAATTCCTAAAGACCCCCAGGGTATGCAACAGATGTGAGTTCCAGGATATACCTTATTAGGCTCTGGTTTTTAAACAGCTGGATGCTGCTAAATCACTCGTTATACTACAGAAATTAAAAGCATATGAAAACATGTCAAAAGCTTTCATCTTAATAGGTGTAAACAGTCTTTTTAATCTTATACAAACCGAGGTAGACTGATAAGTAGATGGAAGGAAACAACTACAATTTTATCCAGCAAGCATTTCTCTAATTGTTTACAAGCTCCATTTTTTATTCCATATTTTCAACTTCACATCCATACTTCATTTTCAAAAAAATCTCTTGAAATATGAAAAGGTAAATATGGCTACATAACAGCATTAGGAGAAATACATTTGAGAAAACACGTTAAGTGAAACTTGGAATTTGAGCCAATGAGTCACAATAATATGAAGTTCAAAAACATGGCCTTTCAATCTTGGAAATAATCTCTTGTACACATGCTAACCAAAAAGAGAACAATGAATTTTTCAGATTACACACATACTTCCGGAGAACAGATCAGCTGGTTAAATAACCTATAACCTGGCAGTTTGTCTGTATATTATTACAAGATTACTTTATAGCTCTAGGATGTTTAAGCTAATAAAGTTCCTATACCATTTTTTAAAATGAAGGAGAACTATTTACCTACAGATTAATGAGGGAAACTTAACCCTTCTTTCCTCACCCAAAAAAGTTAAAGAATTCCTTTTTCTTAAACGCAACTCCAATGAAAAACTGGCCTCTAAATTTTTAGGGGAATTATTTCTTGGCCTTTAGTAAGTACTCAGCAAATACTTGCTGATAGCCAACTGAGGAGAATTTAAAGATAACTGTTTAATAAAAGTAAAGCTGGATTTTATGCCAAAATGTGGCCCATGGAAAAAGTGATACGTGCTGTGTGGCAGCCGCAGGCTTTGCTGAAGAGCAACATGGAGACAGAGATGAGAGACGGACCTCAGATCCATGGGAAGGCAAAACAGCACAGCTATTCATTCAAACCACCCTGGCATAACTCTGTCTCCTGCAGAACATAGCGAGTGCTGTAAGCACTAGGGATAGAGATTTTAGCTTGCTGTTTATAAAAGGATCCTGTAAAAGGAACCTTTGTTCTATAATTAACAGATTGCCAGATACTTCAGAAACTTTAGAGTACATGCTGTCTCTTTTTACTCACTCATTTTAAATATCCTTCTTTAGTAACTACCAATTCACTCAAGCAAAGTTGTTGATCACTGTATACACTAGAAATTTGCTAGAAACACATTCTTATAAAAAATTTCAAAAGACTTGAGAAGGTACAGTATCTATGGAGTATGCCATCAGAAAAAGTAGAGCCTTTGTTTTATCTAATGATCCTCTCTAAAACAAGTGGCAAGTTGAAGTGGAGACATGTAACTTTTGATTACATTTATGCAATTATCTCTTCTTTTAAAAAGCAACAGTACTGGACTAACTTTTAGCATCAGAGATATTTACTAACAACTAAATACTGGCTACATTCTTAGTGCAATACAATCTTTAACACATCTACAAACATGTATACACTTCAAATATTGGCAAATTGCTTCAAAATGCAATTCTCAAGAAGTTTTGGTAATTTATTCACAGTTCAATGTTAGAGTTCTTGGACTTACAAGACATGAAGAAATGACCAACTGGCTCAGTAAACTAAACATTCATCTTAAAAGAACAGAAAACAAAGCAAGGATTCTAAAATCTCCAGCTCACAAAAAGTGTAACTTAAACAAATACAAAAAGTTTTATTTAAGCCAAACAAACTAATAAAACAGCCACAGAACATTTAAAAAAGCTAACAGGGTCATTCTCATATTATTGAGTACCATAAGAAAGATTATTCAAGAATTTCCTAAATGTTCTCATTAGCCATTATTTATGGTAGGTTTCATAATATTGATTATCAAGCTACTACAGATTTATTAGTTAATAAAGCATAACTTTACGGTCTTGCTAGTTAACTACGATTTTCAGTTTAACCCTGGAAATGATTGGTTCAAAGCTAATGTTATCAGTCCTATTGGTTGTCAGGTCATAGATCTGAAGAGAAGGTTAAATTCATCGAGCTAGGGAAACACTGATGTTTTAACTATCCTTAGATATTGTGAGAAAAACTCATGTGTTAATACTTCTAAACTTGAGAGTCTAATGTTAAAACAAAGCAATCTGAAATATGTTTTCATGGATAAGACACTCTATCTGGTGTTCTGGTATACAAAACCCACTAAGTATGTGGATATAAGGCTAAAATATCTTCCTTTACCATTTCCTTCCATTTCTTTGGCCTTCACAAATTCCATGTGAGCTATGATTTCTTCTTCACTAAACACTTTCCAATGACATTGTGCTTTTAGAAATATCACTTAAATCGTAATATACAATAAACAGTTAACATTAGTCTTTCCCTTTTATTGCTACCGTATATCCTAATTTTTTAAGATAAAACACTGACTCCAAAAGACTTCTTTAAATGTTTGTTAAAGCAAACATTTCAGCTGGTCTTCCTTCTTTGAAGATTTTAATAAATAAATAAGCGCCAAATGAAGATCACCAAAGAGCTTTAAAAAAAAAGGGCTCCTTTTCCTCCCGTTCTCATTATTAGCTTAGGCCAAGAGACCTGTATTCAGAAGGATAAGACACTACCATCTTAAAAACAACTTTCCACAAAACGTAGACAGAATATCTATGTTATCTGTCTTAACCCCTAGCCCCATCTGCACACCACCTTGTGTCATCCCCCCTTGAGTACTATCTACGCTTGCTTGTTTTTTACCTGCATTTCACCTTTGCTGTTCCTTGGAGTACCACAGATATATGGTCTACCCAGGCCACGATAATAGCTTACTCTACAAAATGCATTTTACCCCTCTTTTGAACATAATATGCCCCAAAACTTGGCCCATTGTTTAAGTGAACAAATCTGCTCATAACATTTAACAACCCAGCTGACCTCCATTTTTCCACTCTCTCACCCTGTGCCTTGCAATCATCTTAGTCTTTGCTGGTGGTAAGTCGGCCTGGGGACAAGCAGACTTGACTTTAAACAGGATGTCCTTTTCAGTTCCTCACACAGTGACTTGCCCATAATAGGATGCTGACACGATATAACAAACTAAGAAAAGTTAACATTAATTTTCCTCTTATCATTTATTCCTATGGCATAGATAATTTAAAAAGATAGAAAAGCTGACTGACTTGCAAAGTAACAATCATTTACTGACTGGGACATGTGTTAGAGGCTACACATGACCCCAGCCTAAAAAGGGCTCGTGGCTGAGGTAAGAAACTCTTAAGTTAAATATGAGTGAATTTAAACTTTAAATGTACTACAAGAAAGAACTTTTTATATAAAGGACTCCTTTTGTAGAATATCTTTCTTGAAAAATCAGGTTTTCTTATCCTAGATTACATTGCTTTTAAATGGGCATGTGTACTTGTTGGTGATTTGTCTCATGAGAGTATCTTTTTGTGTTCATAATACATACATAAAAGCATTTAAAAATCACTACATTAAGTAAAATAAGAAGCAAGAAGGGACAAGAAGGAGAAACCATGTTTATTTGGAAAATACCACCTCTTTGTTCTTTAATATCAACTTTGATATTCAATTTAGGACGTATCCTAGCTTAAAGTGTGTGTGTATATGTGTATGTGTCTGTGTGTGTGTGTGTGTGTGCGCGCGCGTGCGAGAGAGAGAGAGAGAGAGAGAGAGAGAGAGAGAGAGGGAGAGATAGAGACAGAGACAGAGAGACAGACATAGAAGAGAAAAACAGAGAAACTGAAAACTAATGATTGATTTCACATATTTGTTCACTTAGAATGCTGACTCAAACTTTAGACCATTAGGAAATGTCAAACCCATACAAATCAGAGACAAAAAATGCTAATTTAACAAACATAAGAAATGACACTACACACATACTAAAATTAGCAAGCCTAAACAAAATAACTCAGAAACATTTAAAATACATAGAAATAGCCATAGTAGCTATATATAAGATGTAAATAGTAACCTTATTTTATTTTTAAAACAATCATTGGTTTCCAGTCTCCATCTATGACAGTCCTTCCAAAGTACCTCAAAATATGCAAGTATTTTTCTAACCCTAATATACAAGCGGAATTCTGTGCCCTCCTTACAGCAATAGCTATTAGAAAATCTTAACCTCATCAAGAAATTCAAACAGAAAAAAGAAAAAGGCTGAATTTACTTAAATAATTATGCTAAGTATCTTACCTTCAGAATTTTAAAGTGAAAACTTTAAAACAAGAAGGACTTCACCAAAACACAAACACACTGCCTTATGATCCCCAAGATTTGGCAAAAAAAAAAAAAAACACCACAAAAACTGTGGGGAAATTATTACTCAAGACATTTTGGGTGTCAAACCAATACTCTATTTTAATCTAAATTCTTCATTTCTGTTTCTGATTAAACCAGCTGAAGGCACCTCGATTCCACTTTATCTATTCATATCTTCTTCATTCCTAAATATATTTCAGGAGTAAAACACAGATAATAGAGAAAAATACCAAGGGAGTAACACTATATTTAATGCAATCCTTCACTAGTCTCAGTGTAAAGCAAACACCTTTCTCTAAGCCTAGCCCGGCATACACACTTAGAGTCAAATGATTAGTCAAAAGAGTTGGAAATCTTCCAAACTACAGAAAACTTCCACATGGCGCGAAGGTACTCGTTTTATGCAACAAGGCAGTAAAAAGCTGAAATTCACTACACGAAAATTTTCCTCGGGACAAAATTAAAGAGAATTCTACACATATCAGTACTGATTTAATCTCAGACATTTGATAGCAAGTTTGTGTGGTGATTTCACAGAATAAGATAAACTAAGTCATTCAGCAGTCATTAAACAAAACAAAACAAAACACTACAGATACAAGAAAATAAAAAACAGTTTCAGAAGATGGAAAAACTAGGAGCAGGACACTCGACCTCTATGTCCCCCATCTTCACACTGAAAACCATGTTGTCAGTTGTCCAAAGCAGCTCAAATTTAAAGTTTGTGCTCTGAGACTGTGCAAATAACTTGCTGTTAAGAACTGGAGAAAACCAATGCACTAACCATACTCTAGCTTCCTACGTGAACTCAACTTCCACCTAACAAGCAACAGGTCTGAGAGACTCGGTTTAATCTAACTTACAGAGTAATCCCACCAAGAAAAGCTTTCACGTTTTAAGTTCTACGGTTTGATTTAAAAACAAAACACAAACAAATTTCAGAACAAATCACAGCATCTTCTCTTTACACGTAAACTTAGCAAGACCTTAATTAAATGTCCAAGCATTAGCATACATTGCTGCTGGCTTTAGATATCTCAATTAAATGTACTACACTTTCTTTGAGCTGAATGAATAGAAGCTCGGTAAAACAAAGGTCAATTATTCTAAAAAAACACAACCCTCCCAGGTTGAAGTGGAGGGCCCAGAAATCCAACACCTAGCATCCTTTAAAGAAAATGAGAGCTCAATCTCTTTGTGGTAACGATTCCAATATAAATTCCATTGTTTAAACTCCCCCCACAAATTACTGGAAAAATATGAGGTAATTTCACAAAAATCACAAATTGAGTGGAGTAATTATAACCGATATATAAATAAGGATTTACTAAAAAAGACTTCAAGGGGTGCTATTTTAAATCAAGGCGTTAAATACAAAAGGTGTCTTGTGTTGCTCAATCGTCCAGAGTTGCAGGTGCTCCTTATTCTACAGTTACAGATTTGGCAAGATTCCGGGGGAAATCAACCTGCAAAAAAAAGAGCAATATCTGAAGACTGTATAGACAGGGGGGAGAGGAGCAGTTACTCTAAACAAATTATTCTTGTATATAAAACCAGAAAACAACATGTTCATTAACCATGTCTTAATTAGACGCTACAAAGAACTAACATGGGAAAATATAACCAAATAACGGATCTTAAAAATCCTGAAATGAGGAAAAAGGATTCTGAAGGAACCGGTTTGGCACAAGAAGCACTCCTGTGGTCCTCCATAAAGGTGGCAGCCCTCTCAGGGGACACTGGAGGTGTGGAAGAGTGGGACGTTCGGTTGTCAGAGTGACCGCGAGACCAGGAATGCTAAGCTTGTGCGTGGGGGCATCCCAAACAAAAACTGCCGAGAGCTATCCCAAAAGAAACAGGCAACAGAGGTATTCCCCAAGGAGGTCACCTCCAATCACGGAGGTGGGCTCCAAGGTTCCTTCAGGTTCTATACATAAGAAAAGGTTATGATATAACCTACAGATTGGGCCGTGCAGCTGTAACAGGTGACAGATAAATATCTGAAGGATTTCCCAAATGCTACTGCTAAAAATTTTAAAGGAAAACTAAGAATAAACTGGGTAAAAAGCCAGCCCAAGATTTCCGCAGGGGCCCATCCCTTACATCATAGCCTCTCAGCACAGCAAGGTGGAAAGCCAGCAACTGTAAGGGGATCACACTGAGAATGCCCTGCAAGCAGTCCACAGAGTGGGGCACTTTGATTGTTCTATTTGTGTTCTTAATGGTCTCGGTATCTTCCTTATCGCAGATCACCACTGGGCGTCCCTGAGAAAGAAACACACACAGACACACACAAACCATCAGTGGTAAGCAAAGGCTGGGCTGTTGCACATGAATGTGCAAATTTTGCACTGCACATTTGCAAGTGGCCTCACTGACTCACAATCCTACGCAGTAAAATCAGACTGATCTCACTTACAGCCAAGGAGAAACTTGGTGGGATTCAGTAATGTTTAAACTCACACAGATGAGAAATACCAGACTCAGTACTTGAATCCAAGTCTGCCTGCCCTCAAAGCTCAACTTCATAACCACTACATTGTGCCCAGACAGTAAGACCTTTGGAGCTTTATATAAAAGCCAAATGATCTGAAGAAAACTCTGTTAAGCACAGCACCTGTAATATTACTATAAAACCTAGTTTCTCCTGAAATATACTCTTAAGAATATTAACTTAAGAGGGAGCAGCATACACTAATAAAAAGGACAAGACCTGGACACAAAGATCTGTTTTGGTCTTCGTTCTGCTTATTCTGAGATCTAGAAGCTGGGTCCTGTCAAAATTCTTCAGTATCTCAGATTCTTCACATGCAAACTTAAATACGTTTTGTGAGCCTCCTACTGGGCACTGGACTATCACTTTAAATGTCATGAAATTCAAATAAGCTTCAGTGACCCAACTCTGAGACAACCCCAGGTCCCCTCACAGCAGCCCCTAACTTACCTGTCTGGCAACCACCTGCTGAAGAGCATTCTGACACTTGGCGTAAGTGTGATCTCTCATGATTATCATGATGACAGGCATCAACTTGTCCACCAAAGCCAGAGGGCCGTGTTTCAGTTCACCGGCGAGGATGCCTTCAGAGTGCATGTAAGTGATTTCTTTGATTTTCTAATAGGAAAGAACTAGATTAGTCTTCATTTTGTTTTTCAAAAACCTATTCTTAATACTACACAAAACATCTGGTGCCTGAAGTCACTATTTATCCAGAAGTATTAAAGGACCACTGACCTGTAAATATAGGTTAATTGATCATTATTTCTAAACTATCAACAAGTACCTAGAAGTTTTAAAACCACAAAAACTTCTTGAAGATTTTAGGTGATCATGAATATATTCATATTACTCTGTATCTGTTCTCACTTGCTTGCCTCATGTTTGACCTCAATTAAATCTCACACCTAAAAAAACTCAATCTTTTATTTATTCACATTTGGACAACAAATTAGCCCAAGTTACTTGCTAAACCCAAGTTACCATGCTAAAATGTACTTTTCTTGATTTTCACTTTTGAATTAAGTATTCTTTATCCCTTCTCAAGATAACAAATCAGAATACATAAAAACCTAGGCATTTTCAAAAGTTCCATCTATTTAGGGGCACCTAGGAGGCTCAGTCGGTTAAGTGTCCGACTTCAGCTCAGGTCATGATCTCACAGTGTGTGAGTTCAAGCCATGTGTCAGGCTCTGTGCTAAGAGCTCAGAGCCTGGAGCCTGCTTCCGATTCTGTGTCTCCCTCTCTCTCTGCTCCTCCCCTGCTCATGCTGTCTTTCTCTCTCAAAAAATAAATAATAAGACATTAAAAAAAAGTTCCACCTATTTCAATTTAAAAATTACGGCTATGTGCCAGGTCCTTATGTCCACAGACTGAAATTACAAGTGAGAAAACTTACTAGTGCCCCTTCAAGGCAAGTAGCATAATGATAGCCACGTCCCATTATCAAGACTGACTTCTGATGATAGAGTTCTGTTGCCAGTTTCTGAATTTCATCATCCATGCTCAATACTTCCTTGATCAAATCTGTTAAGAATATTAACAAAGTCTATGAAAAAAGGACAATAAACTAAACTGATATAATAACAATAGTATATTGGTAGCAACCAACAAAAGACCAGTGCTTCTATCTTCTGTGATCTCAGTGAGGGATTTTTAAATACACAGGCAAAAAAGATCTTTTTGACTAAACAGATATAAATGATGGCTTCAAGGATAAGAAGATAACTTCACGCATTAGCCACTCCTCAGACGACAAAAATATACTATGTGAAGATCTTCGTACCAGGCAGCCGCTTCAATCCAAGCATGATCTCTTTGCGTCTCTCTTGCATGGAGATCCTGTCATCACACATCATGAGGGCAAACATCACAAGGGACACAAACTGGCTGGTGTAAGCCTGGAACACCACAAAAAAGCACAATTAGTTGCAGTTGCATTTTCAGAACTTGAATGTTTTATTTATTTTTGAGAGAGAGAGATAGAGACAGTGTGAGCAGGGTAGGGTCAGAAAGAGAGGGAGACACAGAATCTGAAACAGGTTCCAGGCTCTGAGCTAGCTGTCAGCACAGAGCCCAATGCGGGGCTCGAACCCACGAACCCTGAGATCATGACCTGAGCCAAAGTCGGATGCTTAACCGACTGAGCCACCCAGGCGCCCCCCAGAACTTGGAGTTTTTAATTTAAAACAAGATAAAAATAGAATTCCCTCCCATTAGTTTTACAAATATATACTGGCCATTTTTTTAAAATATCATTAGTAACAGCAAACTGAACCATTACTTGTAACATCTATCACTATTCCTCTTTTCTGAATTAGAAAAAATGACCTAGCCTTTATTTCAAAAGACAAAACAGATATTCCTTCTAATGCACTGATGCTTATCAAATGCCTAATACAGCTTAGAAAGGAAAAGAGGTGAGCAGAGAGCAACTCTGCACATGCACAACAATTTAAGTTTCTGATAAAAGTCAAAAGCAAGGTACTCACTGAAGGATCCCTGAGGTACTTGCACCAGTTTGGCTGGTTTTTAAAAAATTGTTTTTTGACGGATGCCTGGGTGGCTCAGCCGGTTAAGTTTCCAACTTTAGCTCAGGTCATGATCTCGCCGTTCATAGGTTCAAGCCCCATGTCAGTCTCTATGCTGACAGCTCAAAGCCTGGAGTCTGCTTGTGATTCTGTGTCTCCTTCTCACTCTGACCCTCCCCCACTCATTCTCCCACTTTCTCTCTCTCAAAAATAAACATAAACATCTTTTTAAAAAAATAATAAAATAAAAATTGTTCTTTGTTTTTTTTTTTTTTTTTTACCTTTACGAATATACTTGTTGCTCACTGCGACCTTCCCCGCCCTCCCCAGTTTGGCTAAAAAAATTTTTTTTGAACTTCAATTGTAGAAAAGTAGGTAGAAATTAAAATAATCCTCAATCTTAGAAATAACTACATTTTGGGGCGGCTGGGTGGCTCAGTCGGTTAAGTGTCCGACTTCGGCTCAGGTCATGATCTCACAGTTCGTGGGTTCGAGCCCCACATCGGGCTCTGTGCTGACACCTAGCTCTGAGCCTGGAGTCTGCTTCTAATTCTGTGCCTCCCTCTCTCTCTAACCCTTCCCTGCTCATGCTGTTTCTCTCTCTCTCTCTCTCAAAAATAAATAAAACATTAAAAAAAATAACTAAATTTTAATAATGGTATTAATAACATTTGTGAATACTGCCTTCTAATCTTTACTGCCTTTCTTTCTTTAAATGGTTAAGACACTTAATGAGTAGGTATAATTTCATAACTTGCTCTTATTCTCCATTAAATCACAAACACTTTCCCAAGGAAGAGTGCCTTCTTTCTTGTTTACTAGTGTGTGATGTGCAGTTTTAAAACTTGAGCAACTTTTCATCTCTTTAGACCTCAGATGGCCCAACTGTCAGAGGGACATTTATTTACAAGGTTATCATGAGAATGAAATGAGACCAACGTAAAGTACTCTGTGTAATACCTGACACACAGGCTCACAACAAATTTTTACTCATAAGAGCTTGAACTAAAAGACATTTACTTTCCTAGGCTGTAAAATGGTGAATGTTTTAAAACTTGCAGTCAGCAACGGGGCGCCTGGGTCGGTTAAGCATCTGACTCTTGGTTTCGGCTCAGGTCATGAGCTCAAAGTCTGCAGGATCGAGCCCTGTGTCAGGAGCTCTGTACTCGTAGGTAGGTAGGTAGGTAGGTAGACAGACAGATAGATAGAAAGAAACTTGCAGTCAATAACAAGACTATTTTCATTCCCATTAGCTGTATAAGAATGTGAGACATGCTAAGATGCACAGTTGTGCCATATTCTCTGCAATACTGAAAATTATGTTTTTAATGAATTTTTACCATTTGCCTACTAGGTGACGGTCTCTCAACACTACTTCACCATAAATATCTTGAATCTGAAAAGTTAAGATTGGTTTCGTGTTCATTAGTCATTTATGTTTTCTCTTTTAAGACTTCACTTGTTCTTCACTGGTTTCTGGACTTGGGGTTTGGGAGTTCTGTTTTGTTTTTTTATCGGTCTTAAGGTCTTTATTGTTAGGTTTCAAATACTTTTTCCCAGTTCGAGTTAAACCTTTTTTATAATGGTGTTTATTAACTTAGAAGTTTTCTTTTTTTAAACTTTTAAGTAGTACTTTTAAGCTTAGTCCTTCCATTCTAACATCAGTTAAGAACTATTAATTTTCTTAATTCTGGTGTTTTCAACTGTCCCTTTTTAATTTTTTTCTTTTTAGTCCATCTGAAATTAATTTTAGTGCAAGGTGTTAACTTGTGTTTTTATTCTTATAGATAGTCAATCTTCCTTCCATTTCGGCCCACCCTTCTCTACTGGCTCATGACATTTCCTGTAGCCTCAGTTCTCTTGAGCTACTAGAGTTATGCTGCAGAACTACTGATTCTGTCCCACAGATCTGTCAGTTCTTTACAAAACAATCTTCCCATTCAGAAAAACAGCATCTCCATCAATTCGTGTTAAAAATGTTAAAGTCCATAAAGTCATAGTTTTCATCTACTCAACAAGTATTTATGGGGCATCTTAGACACTACTTGGTAAAACTGTATTTTTATAGCTACTGAAAACAGAATCCCTCCTCCAAACACACCCCCCCCCATATCTTTTCTAAGCAGCCACTGTCAGTTTATAGAGAACATATCATGTATATCTTTTATATAAAGCACTTTGTATGAATTCCTATTCATTCTAAGAAATCTTTCACTTGGTATTCTTAAACTCTGTAGGTAGTCTGTCATATCAATTGCAAATAAGGAGAGTCATTTCATTCATTTTTCTCTATTATTTGTCTCCTGCTTTTCTGGGTTTCTTTTTTCTTATCTAATAAAGCATTTAATGCTATGAAGTTACTTCTAATTGTCATTTTGGCCACACTTTGTATTTTGAACCATGTTTGTTCATTGTCATTATTTTTGTACTAAGTCTTTTTAATAGCAGTTTTGAGATCTTTTTAACTCATCAGTCTTTTAGAGAAACTATATTTTATACTTTAGGCATTTGAGGTTCTTATTTATTTAATTTGAAAGAGAAACAGAGAGGGCACGTGCACACATGAGGGAGGACAGAGGGAAACTTTCTTTTTTAATGTTTATTTTTGAGAGAGAAAGAGTGAGCAAGCAAGGGAGGGGCAGAAGGAGAGGGAGACAGAGGATTCTAAGTGGGATCGAAGCTGACAGCAGAGAACCCAATGCAGGGCTCAAACTCACAAACCGCGAAAGCATGACCTGAGCTGAAGTCAGAGGCTTAATTGACTGAGCTACCCAGGCACCTCAGGAGAAAGAAAATCTTAAGGATCCCAGTATAGAGGTCGACCCCATGACCCTGGAATAATGACCTGAGCTAAAATCAAGAGTCAGATGCTCAATCATCAGAGCCATCCAAATGCCCCCTTATATTTTTATTATTAAATCACTAGGACTATTGTGGTATGTTAGCTACAGTATGATTTCAACATTAAGAAATTTATTCTGGCGTTTTTTTGTAGATTATAGGCTGAATTTCTACTACTCTTCTCTGAATAAGGAATCACTTCATTAGTGAATATTTTCCTGTCATAATGTGGATAATGAGCCTCCTGTATAATAAAATTAGTCTGCTAATGCTCCTTACCTTCCCAGTAGTTAAGTGAGACTTCCCACTGCCCCTTGCTGGACCCAGCTGCCAGCTGCTCACACATTCCTCCACAGCTACCTGTCCCTGTGTACCTATGTGTCTTACCAGTAGGCTGTGAATTTTTCCCCCACAGCACTGAAGTGGATCCACAGCTCCTTGCCTCCAGGCTAATGAGCACATCTGTATTCTAAACTCCAGTTCCTTCCAGTCTACCTTTTCCTACCAACGGTTACTTTTCAATAAAACAATTAACCACAAAAATATGATCCGGACAAGGGGAGAGACCCAGTATCTGCGACCCTGGGATACCTAAACTGTTTCCAATTCAAACCAATAAGATGGTTTTCACATGATTAAAAATGTTATTCTATAGAGTAACATTTCCCTATTTGGAGTTAAGACATCTCAACACTAGTTTTTAAATATTAAATAGAAAAACTTCAACACACACATTTTCCTACTGATTCTTATTGCAGCTTAATTTACAATTTCACTCTTTTCATTTCATCAATATATGAGCAAAGCAAGTTACACCTCGCACTTAGAATTTACTGAAGTTTGAAAGAATTTACCAGGAAAATGTTGACTCTGAACTTTTAAACTTGGTTTTACTTCTTATTCAGCCAAAAAGCTATTATTGGTTTGTTCTTAAAATTCAACAAAAGTCAGTACTGTGGTTAAATTTTAAACACCTGCAATAACATACAAAAATTGCCAAACCTGCACATTTATGCCCATCAAATCCTACAGAAACACAAACTGCCTATGTCTGATATTACGAGAAACTTATCCTCTCTCCAGCCCTGACAGTTTTTCAGGCAAAGTTGGGGATTTGTAATCGAGATTATAGAATTCTTGTGCTAGTGCCATCACGGGGCCAGGGATTAGGACCAATGATAAACTTTTTTGATCACCTATTAACACATAAACATATTTGCCATTCAGAAACAGTCTATTACTAAAAACCGCAAAACTTGTACAACTCTAAGCCTAGAATGTCTAACGCAGTTGAAGAAAACAAAATTACTTTAGAACCCAAGAAAAATTAAAGGAAGACTAAACTGGGGGCGCCTGGGTGGCTTAGTCGGTTAAGCGTCTGACTTTCGCTTAGGTCATGATCTCGCGGTTCGTGGGTTCGAGCCCCACGTCGGGCTCTGTGCTGACTGCCAGCTCAGAGCCTGGAGCCTGTGTCAGTCTGTGACTCCCTCTCTCTCTGACCCTCCCCTGCTCACGCTGTCTCTCTCTCTCTCCTAGAAATAAATAAAAAAAAATAAAAAAAAAAAAAAAAGGAAGACTAAACTGCCAGGCTTATTAAAAACTTTAAGGGAGTCATTTTTCTAAGAAATTAATTAAAATACATACTATGAAAATATACTTATTTTCTTATATAAGATGTACCCATTGGGGAAAACTGGGTGATAAGTACATGGACTTCTCTGTACTATCTTTGCAGCTTCCTATAAACCTATAGTTATTTCAAAATAAAAAGGTTTTTGAAAAGGACCTGCAAAAGAAGAACTACTGCTAGAAATAACATGAAAAAAATCTCAAAAACGTCCTATTAAATGGAAGAAGCCAGACACAAAAGGCATGCATTACAAAATCCCATTCATAAGAAATTTCTAGAAAATGACATAATATAGCAAGAGAAAGCAATTGTAGCCACCTCAGGCTGAGGCTGAGCGGTAGGAGTGCGGGTTAACTGTAAATGGGCACAAAGGAACTTTTTTTCAAGCAAGTCTTCTAAAATGGGTTGGTAGTGATAGTGCCACAGACAAATTTATTAACACTATACACCGAAAACTGGTGAATACCATGGTGTGAAATGTATGCCTCAATAAAGCTGTAGAAAAACAAGGTTAATGGTAGAATCTCAGTGATGGGTATGTGGGTGTTCATATAAAATTCATCTACCTCTGCTGTGTGTTTGACAATTATAATAAAACTTTGAGAAAAATTAAAGTTTCCGTGAGAAACAGATTTAGAAATCAAAAAAAAATGTACTTCCCCTAGAAGCTCACAGTTCAAGAAAGATTTTAAGAAAAAGGAAGTCAATAGCGTCCATTCTGTGGTACGACCCCATATCCCACATATCCCACGGTGAAGCCCTTGTTTCGCCATGTGTTGTGAATAAAGGGGCTTTGGAATGCCAATCCCCGATCAAAGCTGTCTGTTTGGACACTGTTCCAAAAATCCGGATGCTGCTGCTGAGGGCGGCTGGTTATTTATTCAGGCACAGAATCGAAACCCAAGCACAAACATCGTACATGTTTTAATTACCACATGGAGAAAATTCAGGTTTCAGCTTTCTGTAAATTATAGTGTTAGCAACATCAAAGTAACCAAGAAACAGAAAAACTCACTCAGAGTTTTTACAGAAGAATCACAAACCTCCCCCTCCCCCCAAAACTTCTGAGCTTCTTTAAAAGGGAAAAAAATTCGAATGTGGTTTTGTACATGTTAACATCATCTTCCACACACCTTTAATTAGAATCAAATTCACTGATACCTAAGCATCCTATTAAACAATCAGCAAGAGATATTACACTTAAGCAGAAAAACAGAAATGCTGAAATCATAAAGAATAATACATTTGTGGAAAGAGAACATCTTTCACATTTATATATCTAAGATTCCTATTTTTATTACTAATACTAAATTTACATATATCCCAATTTCAAGGAGCAAAGTAGTCGAAGGCTCTAAAAAAAGTGTTTAAATCTTCACAGGTGCAGTATCCAAAGAGAAACAGATACTGTCAAAGGATATTCATTTTTATTTTTTTAAATAGGCAAATTTTATACCAAAGGTGTGCCTCCCCTTCCAAACTTTCAAAGATAATATGTACATTTTGGCGTATTTATTAGAAACTATCAGTATGCAAATAAAAATATCAAAAACTATTAGGATTAAACCAGATATTTCTTTTTTTTTAATTGGATGCTTCTGAATTTGTTATTTTTCTAATTCCCTATCCTTAATGGAAGAAGAGGACATCGTACTTACTATGTACCCCACGACACCGGCAGGAGGAACAGAAGTGATAAATGGATAGCCAGCAGATGCCCTTCCAGAATGAAGTATGTTATATACACTTGTCCCTTTCGACCCCTCAAGATGGGACTGAGGCAGGGAACGACAAGTGTTTTATCTAATTATTGACCATTATGTCTTACAATAATGACAATGATTAGTAAATTTTATAAGTTCTGTAAGTGCTAACAAATGAACTACAAAGAACGGATTAGTGTGCGCCAGCAGTGCCATGATTAGATAATCATGAGAACTAAGTGAAGGCTTACCTTTGTGCTGGCCACGCCAATCTCGGGCCCAGCATTGATGTGAACCCCACAGTCTGTCTCCCTTGATATGGAGCTGCCCACCGTGTTTGTGATGCCCACAGTTAAAGCTCCTCTCTCCTTACAGTACCGAAGACCCATCAGAGTGTCTGCGGTCTCACCTGTGTAAGAAGAAGAAAAAAGTAACACACAGAGCAATCAGCAAATCCTGGTTCTTAGCTGCAAAAACAAAAAACTAACTATGCTTTCTTTCAAGAATCTCATTTAAGTAAAATTTAAAATGTACACTTAAAATAATAAGTTTGTTAAACTTTTAATAATAGGTTCCTACTTTTTAGGATCTCTCTTCCTTGTCTTGGAAAATTCAGCTCCTTGAGAGTAAAATGCATTAATTTTACACATTCATAAACAGCTATGTAATATCAAAATAAATGTGTATGTCAAGTCATCTGAATACCTATTTATTGTCAAATAGCAGTTTCTGCTGAGATATGCTAGCAAGAATGACTTTCCTTTCCTTCAAGTTTTTAAAATTAGCATACCTGACTGACTAATGAAAAAGCAAACATCATCTCGAAAAACTGGTGTGTTTCTATCCAGGAAATCACTGGCAAGTTCCACCATAACAGGCAACTCGGTCAGCTCTTCAAGAACTTGACGTGTCTGCAGGGAAAAGATGACCTGGTCATATGACCTTACTTCAGATACTCTTACTCACTGGACTCCTTTGGATTCAATGTATACTCATCATTTTTTCTGATTATAAAAATGATACACGCACATTGTTAGAAAATACAAACTATACAGACTATCCCACCGGCCAGGATCCAAGCACTGTTAACATTTAGTACAAGTCTCTTTAGACAGTTACCAATGCATATATTCTTATAAGAAAACACACCCACACATATAAAATGTTTTGAAAGCAGAAAAAGCACTGTTCTGAGTTAGCATGAATATTATCTCTAACTTCCTAATTCCCAATTTTTAAATGACAATTCATATAATACAGGAGTCACTGAGAAATTTCAAATGAGATAACCACAGATAATAAAAATCATGAAAATTAAACACTTCAAAAATACTATGTATCTATAAATAGTACCATTTCCCAAAAAACTCAATACACTTTAGAAATCTTGTTTTAAGAAAGCTTACTATTTCCAAACTTTGTGGCATGGAGGATGAAATAGGGGGTAGTGTGTTTCTATTCAAAGAGTACCAGAACATTTCTTTTACTCATTTCCCTTTCTTCTCTTTTCAAATTTTTATTTACATTCTAGTTAGTTAACGTATAACTAATTTCTACTCTAATCCAATTCCTTTTACTCTCATCATCAGAAAATGTAAAGCAATAGAAAAAAACCTTCTAGGCAGCAAAAATTTTAGGCCCTACAGATGCATACACTTAGTTGTTGTGGAGACCACCTGCTTCTTTAAGTAAGGTCCCCCGCCCCCATCTCTTGCCCCATCAATGCATTCCTCCTTCAAGTAGTGAACAACGGTAAATGTTTCCTTATTTCATAGCCTTTTAGCTGTTTTCCTTTTCGAGAGAAAGAGAGAGCGTGATCAGGGGAGGGGCAGAAGAAGAGAAAGAGAGAGGATCTTAAACAGGCTCCGCACTGTCAACGCAGAGCCCAGATGTGGAGCTCAATCTCACAATCATGACCTGAGCCAAACAAAATCAAGGGTCAAATGCTTCACCTATTGAGTCACCCAGGTGCCTCACTCCTTTAACTTTCTTTTCCACAAAAGTAAACTAAGGGGTATGGGCCCACATCAGGCTCCCGCCTGCTTGGGATTCTCTCTCTCTGCTCCTCCCCTGCTTGCATACACACACACTCTCTCTCTCTCCCTCAAAAATAAATAAATCAACTTAAAAAAAGGAAACTAAATGTTTTTTGTTCTAGATCTTTGGTTTGGCACTTTTAACAATGTTATAACATCATCTACATAAAGTCTCCAAAGATAAAATCTTCTTTTTAACTAACCTTTTCCATTGGTGTATTTTACTAATTATACATAAAGTTACTGACCCTAAAATGCTAAATGTTTTTCCCTTAAATAGAAATCGAACCTCCCCGTCATAATATATTACATCAGAATTATATTCTTCAAAATAAACAAAGAAAGATACAAATCTGGCAACTTACCAGATATTTTAAAATATAGCCCACAAAAATAATCTCAAGATATATCTGTGCAAATAAATGTCTTTTTCCTTCAGTGGAAGCAATTCTTTATAAATAGACAGAATGACATATTTTCATCCTAAGAGACTAATTTACTGTTATAAATTCCACTGACTGCAGGTCACTGAAAAAACCCAGTGACAATTAACATTTTGAAAAGCAAACTATACTTAGAATGACTTCAGTTGATTGTTATTGTTCAGGATACATATTACACACATAAAAAAAGCAGCTAAGCATATATGTCATTCACTTTGGATTCCACCAAAACCACACAAAACCAAAAAACTAGATAGAACAGAATTAATGACACTATTTTGTATGACAAACCACAGTGGGACTTTTAATGTTCATTAACTACAGTAGTCTTGCCATCTATCAAAAAACAAAACAAAACAAACCTTACATTTTCTCTAATTTCACAATTAGAGAATTCTAACATAGCATAAAATGTCTGCCCTAAAATTCAGGTGGAGCATTGGATGAAACATTTAATCAAGTTTTTTTTTGATTTCTAAATAGAGGGCTTACTCAGTATCAACAGATCTAAGCCACCAGGGAACTGTCCAATCCCTTCATTTACACTCACCTCTTTAATTCATTCTTTTATTTCCATGATCAAAACAAGCACTTTCTTAGAACTCTCCCCTTGAATAGTGCCTAGACTTTCCTTTTCAGACCATGTGATTTGGGGAATGGGTGGGTAAGAGAATTGAGATGCAAGGGCTAGACGATCACCTAATTTCTATCACTAGTTAAATGACTGGCTTCCATGAGTACAGATAATAAATACTTACACCCCAGCAAATAAAAAACTACTATATCATAAACTTCGCAATCAATCCTAAAAGTAGAAACTGAGTGTGTAAGGGTCTTCTCTACTTATGGGAGTTCTCTATTTATAATGCTACATCAACACCATTATAAATGGTCTCTTCATAAGAACGCTACACATGGATCTGATTTACTGGACTAAAAGACCATTATATTCCTATGCTGCTGCACGGACAACCAACACACATCTTGGATACAGAGTTTCAGCTTCCCAAAAATTAACTCAAAATGGATTAAAGAGTAAATGTAAGGTATGACAAAAAAGGGTGAAAGGAAGTGGGAGATACAGGATTCCACTTATTTACATCATGCCAATAAAAGGCACAGCATAGGGAATATGGCAAGTATGTTGTAATAGCATCGCATGGTGAAATATGGTGGCTATACTTGTGAGCATAGCATACAATACAGATTTGTTGAATCCCTATGTCATACACCTGAAACTAATGTAATATTGTGTGTTAGCTATACTCAAATAAAAAAATATGAACTCTGCCATAAAAAAAAAGTAAGGTCTGAAACCATGGACTTCCAAGAAAAATGGGAATTTTTCTTGGGAATGAAGTTCCTTGACGTAAGTCTTTGTGATGATTTCTTGGATATGACACCTAAACCACAAAAAACTAATTAAAAAATAAACAAGTGAGATTATATCCAACCAAAAAGCTTCTGCATGGCAAAAGAAACCATCAACAAAGTGAAAAGTACACAACAGAATGAGAAAAAAATACGTGCAAACCATGTATCTAAAACATATTAACATATTAAAAAATATTTTTAACATATTAAAAAACTCATAAAACTCAACTGCAAAAAAATTAAATGACCCGATTAAAAAAATGGGCAAAGAACAAGAACAGACAGTTCCCCCCTTGTGCATTGCTGGTAGGACTATAAACTGGTACAGCCACCATGGAAAACATTATAGACGACCCTCAAAAAAAGAAAAATAGGGGCGCCCGGGTGGCTTAGTCGGTTAAGCGTCCGACTTTCGCTCAGGTCATGATCTCACAGTTCGTGGGTTCGAGCCCCGCGTCGGGCTCTGTGCTGACTGCCAGCTCG